CCCACAAAAAAAAGATATATATATATATATATATATTTATATCCACCTATCGGTGGAGTTTGGTAGCGCCATAATTGCAGTTTAATTTAATAGTACATACTACAAAGGAAGAATACCAACAGTAGTACTTTTTGGTCAAAAGGCTTATAGTCAAAAGTGAGTGCATGTATGTGAATTAATGGGTATATGTATGTATTAAGATGTGAACCATTACTATCATATACCATATGTAAAAGATGTGAACCGTTACTATCATATATCATATGAATGATATATAATTTTTTTTTTTATAAAAAAAATACTTATATAGAAAAGGATTAATTATCATATAAATATATGGGTTAATTAAATTTGTATGCAAAAAACCAAATCAACAAACAAACTACTTATATAGATGGATGTTTGTGTTGGTACCACTCACTTATTCTCTATATGTTTTGCCGACTCTTATTAAATTGATTCAAGTAGAAGTGAATTAAAACACTTACAGATGATGACATAGAAGCCATTGAAGGGTCATGGTCATGCATGCGGTACAGGCAGGGGGCCATTGGATGGGACCTTAGACTTTGTCATTAAATTTTCGAGTCAAAAGTTGGACCGTCTGAGTGTGACTGACCATGGTTTGACCCTCTGACTCACACATTTATATCTGAACTAGAAAATTATGTAGTATAAATGAGGCAGCATGCATCTCGTGAGTCCCCATATCATCTGTGCAGTCACTGCAGCAACAAAAACACACAGTCACGGTTTGACTCTCCTAATGGCAAATATCTGAATGAACGGAAATCCCAACCCCAATCATTTGTAGTTGTATTCTAGTAGTAGTTGTAGTGCTAGCTACAACAATACAAAGGGAAGGACGGACTGGCAGTCTGGCAATGAGAGAGACAAATTAAAGACGTACAGTTACAGCACAGGAACAAAGACCGACCTGACCTGATCTGACCTGGCAGTAGCGGTGGCAATTACTACCCTTTCACTGCCTTCCCCATTCAATTTGTAATATTCGTTTGATGGGCCTGCAGATGTCAGTTAGTCCTCCTTCTATATCACTCTGCCTCTGCCACTTTAATTGGAGACGGTGAATCTGATGCACCTCTATCCACTCCTAATAGATGAATAGACTTGTACCCTTTGTCTATTTCTTAATTTACATTACATGCGCTCCTCTCTTCCATTCGATTCTACTATGCCTGTGCCAATGCCATTGCCATTGCCATTGCCATTGCCATCCTCACCAACATATCAAAGCCACTCAATATTACATTATTACTTAACAACAACGGTTTACAATTTTGCTAAAAAACACACATATTGTATTGGTCCTCCCAACAACAAAAAAACACAATGTCTATCTATTTCACTCACACCTCTTCAACACATATTATACAGTAAAAAAAAAAAAATGCCCACCGGCTACCCTTTCTGCATTTCCCTCCTCATTGCTCATCTCTGCACTCCCTCCAAATTAATTGCCTTGTCAATTTTATACCATTCAATGCCTCAACCCTCATGCTCTACCCATGCATTATCAAACATAATTACATTTACATATATACAAATCCTAGCTATATATCTATCTTGATTCATTCTCTAATAACTTCTTCCTCAGATCCTTAAGAGCATCAACAACTTCAGAATCCAGATTGTGCTTCAATAACCTGCCTTGAAATGAACTTGACCTGAAAACATACAACACAGATTACACATCATAACAACAGTCAACCTTGGACAAAAATTCTCTGATGCCCATCTACTACCATAATTTACTTCTTTTGATTTATATATATATATGTTGCATTCTCCCAAACAACCAGTTTCACAAGTTCAAGACATGACACTTCCAAAATGAGATTCAGTTAAGTGTTCAATATTTGTTGATAACAGATAAAGCTAGTTCTAACTTGGATAGTTCCAAAACATTAGCATCTCCCAAATAGTGGCCTTAGCGCATAAATAAAAATCACTGCATTCCACCAAATATATTAGACATAATGGCTTCTTTTCAATCAAACTTCTAGTTCAGTTTGGCAAATTTCCAAAGCCAACATGGTAAACCATTGTATAAGTTCTTACATGGGAAATATAATGTCAGCAAAATTTCTTATACCTATGTTCTTGAAGCATCCTCTCAACTTCTTTGTGTGAAGCTTTAATCTAAAAAAGTATTCAATAAAGAGCAATTAATGTGATTGAGATCTAGATCAAATAATTGAAAAACAAACTAAATGCTAACACATCAAGGATGGAGATGCATCTCATAGCAGGATTAGAATATACAAAAAATAATAATATTAATAATAATAAGGGATAATAATGTAAATTAAAGAAAGGACAAACATATCTAATTTTGTTGTGATAAAAAAACAAGTTCTTGGTACCACATATTTAATAAACTCTCCATCCATACTAAACTTCAAACAGCAGGGTTGCACTTGGAATTGTGTTCCCACAGCGCTTTTTCACGCACCACTTCATAAAGTGTTAATTTATCATAATTAAATTATTTTGGTTGATGTTTTGTATAATTTAGTAGTCATATTACTGCATAAGACTCTTTTCAAAGTAATTATCAAACAACATAATTTTTCTTATAGAATAATACTAGAAAAGCCACAGTTATATCACTTCACAGCAATCCCGAACATAATGCAAGACTAAGCCAAAACACACGGTAGTACATGTTTTTTCTATTAGCGATATGTGAGCACAATTTCATTACCATTTACACAAGTACTAATGATCTTGTTAACCCTGTTTAGGAAAGAAATGGACATATAAAAAGGTACCAAGACGTTATGCAATAAGACACATGGTTAACCAGTCAATAATCCACGAGGCCAAGACAATTAGGACAGTGTTGATTAAAACAATAAGAAATCTAATAATTTAAGATACCATTTGGTATCACATAATCCACAAATCCCTATCGGACCATCAGTCGAGCGGGTGGGTCCCATTTCATTAAATAAAATGGTCCCTTGATGGATGATCATTTCGTTTTAATATTGCTAACCTATTCTGTAGGCAACAAACAAGGTTACCCCAACAAGTCAAACTATTCCATCACCATTGCTCAAGAAAATTTTCTGAATTTTAACTGTCCCACACCAATAAAGACAATGTTGAATGAGAAATTGAGAAGTAAGATGCTAAATGCCGTATGAGTGGAATACATCATATAATACAAGAGATTATAGATTACCAACACCTCACCTCGGTAACCAATGCCTTGCTACTCCAAATAAAGGCCCCCTGAATTTAACCATAGCAACATAAGTCCATCAGGGGATTATTAATGTAAACTTCAATCATTAACCATTATTAAAGTAGATGATTCGAGAAGATATGCAACAGGTATCCACCACTAGTTGTTCAACAGTTCAAAACAAAAGATGAAATGAACAACTTGCATAAACTCTAGTCCTTTTTTTTTCTCTTTGATCAGCATTCAAAAAAATATTAAAACACTCTAATACTTTAAATGTAACTAGTCTAACAAGTAGCAAAAACTCTAGTCTAACTAGTGACAAGATGTATAGGGGAAACTTTCAATGTACATGCAAGATATTTCACAAGAACTAATACTTTTAACAATATTTTGGTGTAAGAGTTTCATGTATTTCAGTCCAGACTGCACATTAAAAAGTGCAGTTCTGACACTAAAATTACTAAATTATCATTAATGAATAAACATAAGGAAGAGTTTTATTAAGGGTACTTAGTAATTTTGGTGTTAGGATTTCACTTTTAATATGCAGTCCAACTTGAAAAACACTTTTTCCTTGGAATAAATATTTTACGAATTTTGCTACTTAGCAACAGCATCAGCAGTAAAGCTCAAATTCCCAATACCAACCCTCTAACCTAATAAATCATAAGTTTTATTTTATCATTTAAGGACCATATATTTGGTCAAACTACCCAAAAAATATTGCAATTATTGGGACAATGCGTACAGCTCCATGTGCAGCTTGCTGCTGCCTATTATCAGAAGTTGCAACCCAAACTTTAGGGCATCCATCCTCCTTCAAGGCGACAACCTGTTTGATGAAAAAAATGCCAAACCAGGATTGAGAAGCAATGATAACAGAGACACAAAGGCCAAAATTATCAATTAAAACCAGTTCCCAAAACAGAATGCTCCAGAAAGTGAACTATAATGTTAACCACACCTAGCACATAACAGAAATGTTGGTAAAGGAACATCATCTTTCTATGACATCTTTCTAATAAATACTTGTATTGGTTAAAAATATGCAAAATTTGAAAAACACACTTTTAGTTCTAAGAAAACATTGATTTCATCTTGAATGTTGTTCAATATTGCGGCAGTTCTAAGAATATGTTGCTATCAATAAGAGCAGTAACATTATATAATCTCAAGAAGATAAAGCGATAGTCAAACCAATTGAACTAAACATTACTCAAAGATTTTCATTTATCTACATTCTAAAGGTACTAATAGAAAATTATTCATACCTCCTTCTCAATCCATGCATCGGCACAAGATTCTCCAGAGTAAATTATATCAACACTGCAAAATTTTTAATTAATGATTACAAATGATCAAGAAAATTTAATAACAAAAATAGGTTTATAACTGAATACAATGCATTTAGCAATATGCCGCCATTGGAAAGCATATTAAGCACATGTGGTTCTTGGCTCAGTATGACAGTTAATTGTCTAGTATAACAAATCAATTTTGAATAAGAGTGCCGTGTAGATTAAAAGATAGTACCCGGCAAAAGTTTCCTTGTGGGTAGGCAGCCCAGACATCATGGCATCAAATACAACTACCACTTTAACCTCTGGAAATGTTTCAGGAATAACAGTCATAAGGTCAATTAAAATATGGAGAACAAAAAAATGTAAACTCTATCTCCAATTATAACCTTAGTTAATACATTCAATTGAATAAAGGTTCACAAGGACCTAAGAATGTGTGATCAAGTCTCATGAGTAAAGGTTCATAAGGCACTAAGAATGTGAGATTAGTAGTCATTATTCCATGGGAGAACACGTGTTAAGTTTCAATATGTGTTTTATAGCCATAGCCATCCCCCATATAGTTGTCACATACAAATTTAGAAAAAGAGGAAGAGAATGTATTAAAATGCACACAAAATCTTTCCAACCCTGCATGCTAGGAGTTCTATACCAAAGCTAAGCTTCATCTTTCATTTATTTATTTATTTTAATGAGGGTCAGATGGATGGCTAATGCGATATATCATGCAAACTGCAAAGACCACGACCTACATGAGCTTCAGAAAATGAAAAGCACAAACCTCTTAGCATACCGAAAGTGATAAGTTCATCTATTAGCTTTTGACGAGCGATATCAAGCCTTCCTTTCAGAAAGTGTTTTTTCAGTTTCATCCAATAGCCACATACATTATAACCATCAACAAGCAAGACAGGGACAGCGTCACCTATACCCTGGTTAGTACTGTTAAAAATAATAATAAGTAAAAAATTAGAACAAGAAGCAGTGATTTTTAAGAGAAGTTTAAACAGATGGCTGAATTGACATAAGGAAGAAACCTGGAAAGTGTATTACTAGTAAAGAGTTGTGGTAGGATCAGGATGGAGGTCTATAATATCTTGTGGAAGTTGCTCCTTTTGTGGCTTCTTCCTGCGGTAACTAGTGGCAGGCTTAGGAGAAGTAGATTTGCTCCTCTGAAATTCCTACAAAAATACAAAGTGTGTGTTGGATAAGATAAAGGGTACATAGGCGATAGAAGTTTCACATTTCTTAGCCAGGAACCCACCTTCCACAACCTCAAAAACTGCAAATTTTGCTTGACATTTGATGTAATTCTTGGAGGGGTTGGTTCAGGATCCTAGTGGCAGTAACATAAACATTGTTAAATGCAGCATGTTCGGTTCAGGCATGCCAAAGAGAAGTGAAAAATTGATCTGTATAAGTTGTTAACACATCAAACTGTTGATGGCAAAAACATATAATATATTATTATTTCCGATAAAAAGAAAAAATATATATGTCAGATATGTGAGGTTGAACAATGGCGGCTCAAATTGCAATCCGACTATCCACCCATTTCGAAATTATATATCAAGAAAGAAAGAGTAGTAAATAAGAAGAACCTACTTTATTAGAAAGATGGGAGTGGGACTTGTTGCTCTTTCCCATTGCAGTAATCCTACAGAAAGAGGAACCATTTGACAAAGCAACACTTCTCATGGCCAACGCCGGAGCATTCCGTCGGAAACGGAAGTCAAGACGATGACGGCAACACAAAAATCCTTTCCTGTTTCTCTATACCAGGGATATGAAATATATCTCGATGTTAGAGGCCCAACTTGCATAGGAGGAATTTTTGACCGGATGGCCCAACAGAACTTGTTTAGACATGGGCCAGATTTCCAAATTTTTTTAGGTAGGTGCCAATTTCCTTTACTTGTACTCCTCTTGTCTATTGGTGTTTGGTATTTCTTTTTCCCCTTTTTTTGAAATGGTTTTTCCAACTTGAAAGGTAATTTAACATTTACCCTATAAGGCCTATTTGGATCAATAGTTTCAAAAGCAGTGTCAATAGTAGAAGAAAGTGGATATCTCTATTCTTATTTTTTTTATTATTATTTTTAATCTTCCGTATTCAGTGGTCTTATCATACCCTTCCATCTCCATTTAAATTTAATGGTTGCTTTCTAATTAAATGTTATGATCAAAGTGCACTTAGGTTTTATGATTCAATAAATTATATGGCCATTGTAAGGTGCACTTTCTAATTCTATGGTTAAGGTTCAAATTTTTAATCCTAAATGATTGACCGTTCAAAAAAAAAAAATTTATGGTGAAAGTTATTTATTACACTTTTCATTTTAAGCAAGTTTGTTTAGAAGAATAATATTTCCTTAAATTAGATAATTTATTTATATAAATAATACTCCTACATAACAATTCTCAAATTAGACATTATTCCATTAAGTAACTATATTGTCAAAACTTAAATATATCCATTCAATTAAACAATTGAACAATATGATCAACAAGAATTACTTCTTAGTATCCTCTAATTATTATACCTATTTTATTTATAAAAAATAGCACAACTAAACTTGATGTCATAAAATAGTTAACAATTTATATAAAAAAATAATTTTGAGATAATTTTTTTATAATTTAATGTATCATTTAAATGATTAATTTTTTTAATTTATATAAAATTTATAATATTAAATATATTTATTTATTTAAC